TTCATTCCGTTCAACGGAACATTTTGGTGTTTTAAGAACACTCTCTCCGCCTGGAATCTCATGCTGAACTACTGGCATCTTGGTGGCATGAATTTTCACAACGTGCATGGACTATTTTTAAAGATTCTTTTCCTTTATGGAAGAGACCTGCTTGCTCTGCGGTGGCCCAGGGTGAGCACGAACCCTTCCGCTCGAGTCCTTCTGGATCCTCCATGGACTCCCTGAGGAGCGGCTCGTTTGCTGTGAGTCCACAGGGAGCACGAAGCGATGCTAGTGACCCTGGGAAGTGAGACCCTCGCTCTCTTTTGCTGTTGACGTGTTAGAAAGAACCTTCAGCAAAATGGTGCTAAATAGGCAGAAAATGACAGTGGGACCGGGGGACGCAGAAGTTGATTCGTAGAGCTTGGTCCCCTTAGAAGAGACGCAGTCCCTTGGGAGTGGCAGAGGTCACGTCGCAGAGCTAAGGACACGTGCCCCTCACCACTGAGGTGCAGGACGGCCCAGGGCTCCCGCAAAGGTGCCCACGCAGGCAGCTCAGAGGACACGGGTGTGGAAGGGTCCAGTGGGGGAGGGCTGCTGGGGCCCCGGGAAGAAACCGATGCCAGTGAAAACGGGGCTGGTGAGTCCCCTCAAGGCGGCCCAGGCTTCAGGGTCTCAGCTGAGACCGGCCGGCTGCTGAACTGCTCTGACAGGAAGAACATCAAGCGGGCGGGGAATGACGGCGTGACCTCACTGCCGGGGGGGGGGGGCGGGGGGGGTGCAGCCAGCGTCACTGCCGCAAGCCTGGGGGGCCCGAGTCTTGGCTGAAACGGCGGCCAGCACGCACGCGGGGCCGTCACGCGTCTGCTGCACCTGCTGTGGACAGGACCCTGAGCACACGCGGGGGAAGGGGAGGCGGCGGGCGGGGCAGCCCGGAGCAGGTGCGGGTGCCCACGGTAGCACCCGCCGTGCCAGGTGCCTTGGCCACGAGGTGGAAAGAGCCGTGCTCTTCCTCCGCAGCTCCAGCCGCCGGTGCGGGGGCTACAGCACAGGAAGTGCTCGGTGGGGGATTTACTGAAACAGCGAGCAAATGCGTGAGTGAGTAAATGATGGTCAAAACTGTGCGTGCACAAAGGACTGGCCTTCAGGTCCTTCACCGGGAGCTGGCTGACCGCCCACAGCAACGCCTGGTCACACCTTCACCTCGAGGGCCCTCGCGGCCGGGCGAATGTTCCAGAGTCCAGGCTGCCCTGCCCCGAGACCTGCTATCTGAGCCATTTACAAAGGAGCCACTTAAGCGAGTTCCTGGACTCTCCTTGGGGAGTCATTCTGTCCACAACTTTCCCCGGAGAAGTATCCTTGGGTCTAATAAGCCACATAATCAAGGCAATTTTTCACACAGTGTAGCTGAAATCCCCCCATGTGGGTAAACACAGTTAATTTTATCTCCTTGTCTTCAGGGAGACACAGAGCAGTCCCTCACCGTGGTCCACACCACAGCCTTGTGTGCCCGGGCGGCTGTGACTCAGTCGGCTTCCCATCCTGCGGGAGAGCAGAGCCTGTGAGCGTTCCTCAGCTTTCTTCTGCCGGATTGTCCCCTGCATGCCAGGGACCGCTCCAGTGGCAGTTCCGGCAGGTTCCCCGGCCGGCTACCCTATCTGCTTGTCATTCGTCAAGTGCTGAAGCCACCTCGGTGTTGAAGAACTCCCAAGAGGGTTATTAAACTTCCCTTTCAAAGCTGTCCATTCATCAGGCCAACCAAAGAGGGGTCCGTTTTCTGTCTCTGATCATCTGAAGATGCCAGCAAAGATGCCCGCCTCGAATCCTTACTGTCGTCTAACGCCATGCAGTCATATCTGCAGGACTTTCCACAGCACACGGCTTCAGAGAAAAACGTGCAATAATTCTCCTACATTCCCTGTGCTTGCACACTAACCCGCTGAGACACGCTGAGGGAGCCTGAGCTCGGGAGGGAGCCAAAGACGCACAGGAGGCCCCTGCTTCTGACTCTTGATTTCGGCTCAGGTCTCGATCTCACGGCTTGTGAGTTCGACCCCCACATCAGGCCCTGTGCTGACAGTGCAGAGCCTGCTTGGGATTCTCTCTCCTTCTCTCTCTGCCCCTCCCCTGCTTGTGCGCTCTCTTCCTCTTCCTCAAGATAAGTAAATAAACAAACATTAAAAAGATTTCCTTGCAGAGATTACGTATAAGAAGATTCAAGGCTGCATCCAAACAGTTGTATCGTAGGATGGCGGAAACCGGACTTCACGCAAATAGACACACGCGTGAGGGGGGGGCTTCACAAGAGATCAAAGAAGGGAAACTCAGAGAAGCACTCCATGTAGGTCGAAGTTCATCTGAAGGGGATAAATGATGCGGAAAACTTTAGAAACCACGTATGTCTTCAACATGAATGGCTATGTCCACTGACCACATAAAGATGGAGGGGAAGACACTTCCTCAACCCTTTACATAATACTCTCCCTTAATCTCATTTAATCTAGTCAAATCCATTTTCCTATTTTCAGGCTCAGAAGGTGCATCCATCGAATTCTGGAGGCAACATGGTTATCCATCACGAACAACCAAGATCACGGACCAGCACCATCCCAGACACATTCAGGAAGAATGGAGCCCCCCCCCCCCGCCCCCGCCATGTCCACGTTTTCCTCTCCTCTAACAACGGGCCCATCAGGAAGTATTTGTTACCTACTATGTGATCGGAAGGTCCGACAAAAGTTACCCTAAAAGGCAAGAGCCACTAATTGGAGGCCATGTGGAGACACGAGAAAATGCCGTTAGCCCGCTCCTGGTGTGGGGTGCCATCTCTTGGGGACTTAGGGGCCCCCGAGCCACACGCGCTGCTGAAATCACTCCTTGCCAGAAGGCCCCTGGTGAACTTGAACTGCAGCTGTGTTCTCTGTTCCCGAGGGAGAACCACTCATTTTAGCCTGACTCCTTATAATTAGCGTAGGTTTCCTTCGGGGAGTGATATTTACTTCTTCAAGTAAAACGGCAACGAGGGGTTTGTTGGTGTTTTTGCAAAGCCTGCTCACGGGTTGCATATTTCCTTCGCCGAGAGAGCGTGTCCCGGGAATACCTGTCACCAGGGTGCTGGTCCCTGGGGCCAGGCTTTCCTCCATTGAGGACAGCCAAGAGAGCACACGATCCCCCGAAACACAGGTCACCAACCTCAGCCTTCGGGCCAGAATATCTGCGTTTGTAAATAAAGTTTTATCAGAACAAAACAGTGTCCATCGCCTTCTATGTCACCTACAACTCCTTTCTCTCTACAATAGCACAGTGGAAAGTTGAGACCCAGGCCTTCCTGTGTGGGCTTGCAAAGCCTAAAACATCTTCCCTTAGAGGAAGAGTGTGCTGACTCCTGCGTCCTGCACTGGACGCCCTCCGGGCTGAGTTACACTGCCTACCGCACTCAGTACCAGAACCGTGTAGTAAAAACCACGAATGGCCTAATACATATTGGGGCTGGCCTAATACATAAGTGGTCTGGAGCCCCATCTGCCTGCACGTTCCAGATACAATCCTAAAGCATGTGTGCTTGCTTGCACGCATGCGCACACGCCCCTCCTTCTTTAGGAACTGTGGGTTCAATTTTCTGTAAACTGGAAGCCCTTTTCAGAAGGCAGGGCCAGGCTGTACGACCTCCGTTCTGGGGTCTGGCCTCTCCTGGGTGCTGATGGGGAGGCGCGGGTCCATGAGCTTAGTGACAATCTCTGGGAGGCAAGGGAAGAGGCCGTGGGGCCTGCTGGGAGGAGACGCTGCCCAGTGCGTGAGTCACGAAGTCCTTGTCCTGACGACTCTGAGGAGGCTGGGCAGTGGCCTCTCAGGAAGGCTGCCCACCCTGAGCTCTTCCCCGAGTGGGGGGATGAGGCCGGCATGCGAGGCTGGGGGCAGCAGGCCGCCCAAGGACCGTGGAGGCTTGGGAGACCCTCTGTGGAGATGCCATGTCACCCGTACGGAAGATCTGACGGATGTGGGTGCGCTTGCTTCCCAGAAACACCTTTGGTCATGACGTCAGAGGGATCTGAAGTCAGCTGTCGGACACTCAGCCACGAGAGTCTTCAACACTCCGGGCTTCCGCTACCTTCTGTGAAGTCGCAGCTTCTCCTTGCGAAGAGTTAGCGTCTCTGAGGAAAGGTGACCTTCGTCTCCTTGGAACGGAGTTGGTGGGTTGGTATTCACCCGCCTCCCGACCTCCCCTCACACGCTGATTCCCATTGGCTAAACGCGCTTTTCAAATCCCAATGGCTGCGTGTCGGGCACCGGGGACCCTTTAGTCATAGCGAGGACGGTTCTGTGGCCTATATCCTCCTGCTGCCTCAAGTCATTTCAAGGCAATGGAATTAACATGCAACCGATATAATCATGCCATTGGGAAAAATAAGACTATTTCAATTCCTAAGACAATTGACAGACACAATCTCACTCCAAGCTTTTAAAAATATCATTTTCTGTGTTATTTTAGGAAAAGTGTTTTTAAAACGCGGCTTTATGTAATCGGCGTCAAGACACAGAAGGGCATGATGTGAAACCGTGAGGCAGCGCTGGCTGTGTGCCGACATTGCTCGTGGGGAGCCCGGCTCCACGATGGCCAGCAAATCCACCTTCTCCTAAAACCCTCGAAGAACAGAGCCAGACTTCCAAGAGCAAAATAAAAGAAAGTTGCAGTGGCTGCGTGGCTCTGCTGATTCCTCTTTATGGTCTTTTCGAACAAGGTTTATCTCCTTGACTTCACATAAGCCTGGAATCTATACGCAGCTCCGGTTGGGGACCACTTTAAGGGTCTCAGATCCGAGAAGCAGAGCACCCGCTGTTCCAGTTTCAAGACAGTTCTCCAACCAAAAAAGGACTGCCCATCTCACACATGCTAACATTTACACACTTGCCCAAAATTTCACTCATGCAAGCACAGACCCTGAGCGTAGGGAGACAGTTTCCGTCTGCAATGTGTAAACTTCATCAAACTCAAACCTGGTCACGGAACTCGATTGGCTTACCAGCTGTTGGCCTTTAGGGCCCCACCCTGCGTACTGAAGTTTCGCATTGCTCACTTCCGGTGGGTCCAGACTTTGAGGATCCCTGAAAGAAAATAAAGAAAGAAATAACCAATCGATCAACCAACATGGCGGGAGACAAGAATGTTCTGTGTTTATCCAACGGCTCTAATTTACTCCCTTCAGCCATTGTATGAATTTCAGAAGTTCGTGTAATTACATAATACGTCTCAGCCTTCCATTAGACTTCTTCAGAATGAAGCTGAGACTGGCCCATCACTGTTTAACCCAAACAGTAAATATTTATCAAGAGACAACATGCAGAGGTCTGTAGATCAATTATTAACATGTCCACACCAGTCAATATTAAAAATGGAAATGCAGAGCTATGCAGTTACAAGCCCCATGACTTCTGTCTTCATCTTGGGCTTTCCTAGCAGATCACTTTTTTCCTAAGCACATAGCCGGGTCATTCTGACCTTCCAAATCTAGTGGCCTCAGGACAGATTTCACCATTTGGTTTATGCGAGGAGGGAGGGAGAGAGAAGGAAGGAAAGGGAGAGGGGAAGATTGAGGGAAAGATTGGTTTTCCTTGCAGACATCACTTAGATTCTTTATTTATTGATATGCAAAATACTATGCTAACAAAATCCTGCTTAGGTACTTAAATAAATGTCATAGTGAATAAGTCATAATGAAAATGAAAAGCCCTAATGCTTTTATAGGTATTAAATAATTCAGTATATTTCATAGCTACTAGTATCTACAACATGTGGGAAAGACCCATTTTCATTCCTTTTCCCAGATGACATTATATCTTTGTTCTGCTGCAGAGGCCACACTCTGGCAGGTTTATACCCTATCACTTGCCTATGAGGTGCCTCATGTGGAAGACATAGCTATGAATGTGCTCATTCATCTACTGAGAGGCTGTGGCTGAATGGTCTCTGAAAAAGGAAGAAGGTGAATTTTAGGAGAACAAAGGAGATGAGGCAAGAAAGGAAAGGAGGTAAAGTGCGTAGGTACTGATTCTGGGCTTGAATCAGCAGAAACTTCTAAAGTGATTGCTTAATAATACTCCCAGGACAAAACAGAATATACTTAAGAGTAAAAAGCACTGGGGAAGGTGAGAGAGTCTGCAATACCCCAAGGTAGTTTTAGATGGGGTCCTTGGGTCTAAAGAGACCTGGGAAGCCTGAAGATGGGGTGATTACCTGCTAAGTAGGGGGCGGCCCTGATAACAGAACTCAGCTGGGCAGGCTAATGACAGACAGAAGAATAAGGGAGGGATCTTAACTTTCCCGGTTCCAAATGAATTTCAACGAACACCACCATTTGTAGGTCTTTAATGTTTCAAAGTATTTTCATAACATGGGTGATTTCCTCTTTAACCTTATATAGGGAAAGGCTTTCTAAGGAGGATTCAAAATCCAGAAGCAATAAACGAGTGATAAATTTGACTACAGAAACATTTTTAAGGTTTTTTTTTTGCATAACAAAAACATCACCAACAAAGGGCAACTGACAAATTGGGAGAAATTATTCATAACACATACCATGGACAAATAGCTAATATCCATAATATATTAAAAAAGCTCTAAAATATTAAGTCTACAAAAGACCAAAAAAAAAAAAAAAAAAAACAAAACAGGAGAAAAAGACATGAGCAGACAATTCACAAAAAGGATATAAAAGGTCCTCAGATATATTAAAAGGTACCAAACACATGCAAAATTATAGAAATAGAATCACCAAATTGTCCTTTTTCACCTATGAAACTGCTCTCCAATGCCCTCTCCCAAAAGAAAGAAAAGTAGGGCACACTGTATTGGTGAGGCTGTGAGGAAAAAGGTGTCCTCATACTTTGTTGGTAGGCATGAAAACCAGTGCAATCATTTTAGAGGGAAACTTGGCAATGCCTAATAAAATGCACACTTAACCCTTGAACTAGATCACTTCTGGGAAGGTATACCTTTAACAATACAAAAATACATATGCAGAGGGTTATATTCACTGCAGCTTTGTAATGACAAGACATTGGAAACAGTATGTGGCTGAAGAAACTATGGTATATCCATACAACGGAATATGGTACAGCTGTAGGAAAGAATGAAAATCTCTATAAACTGATTGGAGTGATTTTCATGATGGAGCGTGCAAAGCCCAACAGACCATCTATAGTATGTGACCCATCCTATAAGAAAGAGATATAAGAAAATATACATACATACATCCTCATTTGTGAAAAAAAAAAACAACAAAACAAAACAACAAATAGAGGAAGCATAAAAAAGAAGCCAGAGGTTGGTTACGTACAGGGGGTGGGTGGGAAGAAGGAGGGATTGGATATGAGATGTCTGCATGAGGAAGGAGAAGCACTTCTCTTGGGTATATTTATTGATATAACGTCCAGTTTTCGACCATAGTGAGGCTTCACCTACTTTTTGCTCACTCCAAAAACAAAACTAACTGTTAAAAATGATCAGGATGTGGGGGAAATCCAAAAAAGAATAGCAACACCACAACAGAGTAAAACCCTACTTCAGACGAATCATAAAACTACACAGAAGGGATGGGGAAGGAAAGACCCAACATAAGCAATTTCAGGAAACAGTATCTTGACTGGATACTGTAAAGACAAAAAGATCACTAGGAACTATGGGTTAGCAATTCTGAAACTACTTAATATGTGTGCTGGAATTAAACTATTCTGCACATATATACATACACTGGAGATAATGAAAGCCAGTTTTCTTACTGTTGGAAACACAAGCTATAAGGAAAAGGGGAAGGCTAAAATGAACTGTGTGATGTTGGCCTGGACTCAGAGGTATTGGTAGAAACTCATGGTTTCTAATACATACACACAGAGACCCAAAATGTAGATATATGTGTATTCATAGGTTTGTGTGCATATATATATGTCCTCACTCTGTCCATGGAGAGGCTTAGAACCCATGGCGCCCAGTAACAATGAGCACACCCAGTGCCCACATCTTGGTGTCTAAATACCATTATCCAATAAAAGTAAACAAGGCTCCTAGGAGAAGTAATTGTATGCAGGTTCATAGAGAGAAACACAGGATGAATCTGGAATATCTTAGGGAGCCAGAAAATAAGGAAAGACTCAAGAAAGATAGAAAGAAAGGAAGACTTGTTCAAAGAATGCAGAAGCCAACCTAAAGGAGTTTCTCATGGCCAAAGCTGGAAAAATCTGAGCAACAAAATAATTAATAATAGTATCAGGTTTGCCCATGGAATAAAGTCAATATCCATAAGTCCATACTAATATAAATAAGTAATCAAATACATAAGCCAGCTTTCTGGTAGGAGGATTCCAATTAATAACTGTGAAAAAGAAAGGAAAGAGCATCGCCATTAGATTGACATTAATGAATGTTGCAGACAAGATCTATTAATGGGAGCTAAAATTAGTGAATGAGAAACAGGATTTGCATAACCTCAAAGTATCCCCCCCAAGATATTTATCAGCCATAAAGGAGAAGACAGCAATTTTGCAGTAGAGAAACCTGGTAGACAGCAAGTGAACCAAGAGATTGAGGTCAATGTCCCTGGAAATAAGACACATCGCCAACATCATCACGAACATCACGTGCTGGGAAGGAGAAAGCATCCTATAGACAGTATCTTAACCAAAAATGCATAAACTCTTTAATTATGAGAACACAGAAGATAAGCCCAAACTGAGGCTCACGTTACAAAGCAGCTGACCAATAATCTTTGAAAGTGTCAAGATCATGAACAATGGAGAAAGACCAAGGAAATGTTATAGACTGGAGGGGATTAAAAGGAAATAATGTCTAAAGGAACATGGGATCCTGAGACAGAAAGGAGACATTGGTAGAAAAATTGGTAACATTCAAACAAGTTAAATTAATAACACTGCGCCAATATTAATTTCCTGTCCTTGATAATTACACCGTGGATATAAAATACACTAATAGTATTTCGGGAGCATAAGAGAGGTAGGGGTAGGGACATAAGAAAATTATTTGTACTGTTTTTGCAACTTTTCTTTGTCTAAAATTACTTTAAAATAGAAAGATAAAAACATTCAAAAAATTGAATAGCTTATATCTCATTGGTTATAAAAAATATTATAGCAAAGGGGTCTCTGGGTGGCTCAGTTGGTTACGCATCCGACTTTGGTTCAGGTCATGATCTTGCAGTCTGTGGGTTCAAGCCCCATGTAGGGCTCTGTGCTGACAGCTCAGAGCCTGGAGCTGCCTCAGATTCTGTGTCTCCCTCTCTCTCTGAACTCCCCTGCTTGCGCTCAGACACATTCTCTCTGTCTCTCTCTCTCAAAAATAAATATTTAAAAAATATTATAGAAATGAATTAAAGTTAGATAATTTCCCTCCCAGGATACTGCAATCTTGATATTGAATTGAAGAAAAAGTCTTTGATATCTAGCAAGGCTTAGGCACTCAGTTTATGCATCTGAGTAGACCAACAGAGGAGTAAGGATGGATAGGTTATGGGCGTGGCTCCAAGTAAAAGACTTTTGCAAGTTTAAAGACAAACTTAACAAAGTCATTTGGCCTGGGTTTATATAGGATTTTCCAAGCAGAGAGTAGGAATAAAGAAATGTTCAAATCCACAGTCGTACGGAATAGGGAAATTCACTTTGTTGGGTAATGAATTCCAGTGTCTGGGATAATCGGGAGCAGCAGATTAACCTTGCTTATCACCTAACAAGTGTAAATCCCTATAAATGTTAACTGGATATGGTATGTCTAGAGAGAGAGTGCTCTAGAAGATTTCATGAGCACCCAGCCAACACCACCACGACCACACATGCATCTCCCCTTTGTCACCTTCACTCCTTCTCCAGGGCTCACACACACGCACCCTCTTACCCTCATGGGCAACACATCAGACAAGCTTCTACAGCCTGAAGACAGCAAAGGCTAGTGGGAGAAGCCCACGCCCCGGCAGGGTCAGGAGACTGGGTACAACTCTGAGACCAGCCTCAATGAGGAAGGGGGATAAGAGTGACCCTCTCCCCTAAAGAAGGGCCAGGGAATCCAAGAGAGACAATGACCATGTATAAACTGTAACACA